CAAAAAAAAAAACAAAAAACCAAAACAAAACCCAAACGAACCCAAAGTGCCTGGTTTTTACCCCAAAACGGGGAGGAGGGGGGGGCCAGGCTCCCCCCATCAGTCGCTGGAGGAGTCGGAGGCCTCGCTGGGGCTGTCGTCGTCCTCCGAGGCCTCGCTGGGGCTGAGCCGGGGGCTGCGGGGGGGCCCCCCCTCGCTGCCTCCCCCCTCCGACTCTTCCTCTTCCTCCTCCTCCTCCTCTTCTTCCTCCTCATCTTCCTCGTCGTTGTCGCTGCCGAAGATCTCTTCCTGGTCGCGGGCGGCCCGGGCGGCATCGCTGCCCCCCCGCCGGCCCCCCCTGCCTTCTTCCTCCTCCTCTTCCTCCTCTTCGGCCTCATCCTCCTCCTCGCTGCGGACCGAGCCCCCCCGCTCGCTGCTGCTCCCTGAGCCTTCGGCCTCCTCCTCCTCCTCGCCGCTTGCCCCCCCCTCGCTCTCGCTGCCTTTCTCCCGCTCTTCATCTGGAAGATTTGAGGGGGGGGGTTGAAGATTTGGGGGTGTTTGGGAAGGTTTGGGGGGGGGGGGGGGTTGAAGATTTGGGGGTGTTTGGGAAGGTTTGAGGCGCCCCCCCCAATACCTGATCCTGCTGCCTCCTTCTCAGCCTCCATCTCCTCCTCTTCTTCCTCCTCTGGCTCGTGGTTCTCCAGCTGCGCTCGCCGCGCTTCCTGGTGTGTGTGGTTGGGGGGGTCAGCTGGGCTCCTGGGTCCCAACTGCACCCCCAGGGGGGCGGAGTGGGGCAGGGGGGGGTCCCCAATTCCAAACCCACCCCCTCCCCATACCTGGGCCTCCAGCTCTTTCTCGTTCATGTCCCGGTGCTTCACCACCAGCACCGCGTTGGTGCCCGACTGCACCCCAGCCCGCGCCCGCCGCTTGCTCAGCCGCACCCTGGGGGGGGGGGGGGGGGGAGGTCAAGTACCCTCAGGACCGTTCCCCCCCGCCCCAAAATCCCTCCCAACCCCCCAGGACACACACCCCCCCCCCCCCCACCCCAAAATCTCTCCCAACCCCCCGGGACACCCCCCCTGCCCCTCCCTGGGCCCTGCCCAGATCCCTCCCAGACCCCACCTGACCCCTCCCCAGACCCTGAACACGCCCGAACTCCCCCAGGGAACATCCCCCCCCACCCCAAAATCTCCCCCTCTCCCAATATCCTGACAGGGGGGGACTCAGGGTCCGTCCCCCCCTCCCACTATCCTGACAGGGGGGGACTCAGGGTCCGTCCCCCCCTCTCCAGGAGCCCCCGGCCCCTCCCCACATCACCCATTCTTCCCCTCCAGTCTCCACAGGGACTCCCAAGGAGTCCACAAGAAAAGCGACAACATCCCCCCCCACCCCAGTGCCCCCATTACTGGGCGGGGGGGGGGGGGGTGTGTGTGTTTCCCAGTGCCCCCCCCCAGCCCCACCTGGTCTCCAGCTCGTTGTAGTAGACGCCGTCGCCCTCACGGAAGATGAAGAAGTAATTCTCCTCGTAGCCCTTGCTGGCCTTGTTCTTCACGTTCCAGTTGTACTCCCGGGCGATCTTATAGTCATATCTGGAGGGGGGGGTGGGCACAGGGGGTGTGGGGGGGGGGCCTGGGAATATCTCCCCCCCCCGCCCCCCGCCAAAGCAGCCCCCCCCAAATTGAACCTTTAGGTTGGTCTTAAAGCAGTTGACAAACCAACCTCTCGGTTTTTCTCCCATAAAAATGGGGGACCCCCGCCCAGTCTGCTCCTCATGGCCCCCCCCCCCCTCAAGCTACACGGGACCCCCCAATTCTGTAGGGACCCCCCCCCAACATACACATCCTCGGGGGCGTAAGCCATCTCCTCCTCCTGGTCTCGCTTCCGCTTGCGCAGAGTCTCCTCCACCGGCAAGAAATAAGCCACAAACTGGTTCCCTTCCTCATCCATCATCCCCCTGCGGGCAGGAAAGGGTTAAAGGGTGTGCGGGGGGGGGGGGGGGGGATGGGCTGACAGAAACTCTGCCCCCCCCAAAATGTGGGGGTTCCCCCCCGCCCCCAGCACCTGATCATGGCCTGGGACATCATCTCCAGCGCGGCGGGGCCGCTCGTGTCCTTGGGCGCCGGGTCCGAGTCAAAGATGACTTGGGCGCAGGGATTGATCCACATCTGGGGGGCAAAAAAGGGGGTGGGGGGGGGCAAAAAGGGAGGGGAGGCAAAAAAGGGGAGGGGGGAGGAGTGGAAAATGGGGGAGATGGGGGGCAACACCCCCCCCAACCACCCCCCAGACCTCGAAACCGCCATTCTAACACCAGAACTGCCCACCACCCCCCAGGCTGCCCCTTCAAGGTGGGGTCTGTGCCTCAGTTTCCCCTGCAGGACAGTGTTGCCGGGGGGGGGAGATTTACGGTGTTGCCCCCACTGCTGGGGGGGTCCCCAACGTGGCTCCCCCCCCCTACCTTGAAATCAGGGAAGACGGGCATGACCTCGACCGGGGTGACACGGGGTTTGCTGTAATGCTGCGTGATCTGGGGCGGGGGGGGGGGGAAACAGAACAGCATCAGGGCTGTGTCCTGTCCCATCCCCCCAAAAATCCCACAGGGGAACCCCCAAATATCCCGGGGGGGATCCCCAAGAAACGCCCCCTCCCCCTCACCGCTTTCTGGGCATCCTCAAAGGTCTTCTCGATGGCGGCGATCTGGCTGTCACGGTCTTTGTAGATCTCTTCCTCGGTGAACTGCTGCTTCACTGAGACACCGATCCTGTGGGGGGGGGTACAGGGGGGTGGGGGGGTGTGGGGGGGCAGGGGGCTGTGCCCCCCCCCCCCCGCCCAGGACCCCCGCCTGGACTCACTTGACCTCGGGTTTCTCGTTGGAGACGCCGTAGCGGTTGAACTCGGTGGAGATGTACTCGGTCTTGCGCATCCACGGCACCACCTTGGCGTGTTGCTGTGACCTAAGCGGGGGGGCAGCATGATTTGGGGGGGCCTCTCAGGGCTTTGGGGGTACCATAGGCCCCCACCTCAGCTTGGTGTTGGGGGTGTCACACACCCCCCCCACCACCACCCCGGGGATGCCGTTACCTCTTGGAGCTGGTGGGTGCTTGGATCTCCTCCTCCAGCAGCTTCTCATCTGCTGGGTCCAGGAGCACTGGCCGGGGGGAGGGAAATGGGGAAATTTGGTTTTCCCCCCCTCAGTGTTGGGGTCTCCCCACAAGTTTGGGGACCCACACGCTCTTGGGGTTCCCCCCCCCCCCCCAATTCTGGGGTCCACCCAATCCCTCTTCCCATCCTTAGTGGCAGCTCAGCCCTTGGGGGAGCTCCTGGGGTATCCCTGGGCCCATCTCCCCTGTGTGCCCCCTCCCCCCTCCCAAAATCTGGGGTGTCCCCCCCCCCAAACTCGGGGTGCACCGGCCCCCCACCGCTGGGATCGATGCGGTAGGTGTCGGGGTTGATGAGGTCGATGGTGACACCCAGGTCGGGCTCCGTCAGCAGGTCGTGCTTGTGCTGCTTCTCCAGCGACGTCGCCTTGTACTGCACAAACCTGGGGGGGGCGGGCGTATGGCACGTCCAGGCACCCCAAAACACCCCCCAAAAACCCCAACCCCACCCCAAACACCTTGAAACACACCTCAAAACTCCTACTCCCCCAAAGCACACCCCAACGCCTCCAAGAAACCCCACCCCCCCCCAAAACACCCCCCCAAAAACCCCAACCCCCAATAAACACCGCCTGAAAACTTTCCAAAAACCCCAACCCCCCCAAAACACCCCGCAAGTCCCCCGAACCCCCCACTTCCCCAAAACACATCCCAAATCCCCCTCAAAACCCCCAACCCCTGCAAAACACCCCCCCAAAACCCTCTAAAAACTCCAACCATCCCCAAAAATGCCCCCAAAACCCCAACCCCCCCCCCCAAAGACCCTCTAAAACCCTCCCCAAACCCCAACCACAACCCCCGGAACACCCAAACCTTCCCCGCCCCAACTTTATGTCGCGGGTTGGGGTGCAGGGGGGTGACCCCCTGACCCCCCCCCCGCCCCCCCTGACCCCCCCCGCACCGGTTCTGGTCGAAGGGGTAGGTGATGAACTTGGGGTCGAAGGGGATGTCGGGGAGGCTGTTGCAGTACTTGACCCGACACACCACGCCTGACCTGGGGGGGCGAGGGGGGGGGGGTCAGGGAGGGCCCCCGAACCCCCCAAAACACGGGGGGAGGGGATCCCCCATGGGGGGGGAGTGGGGTGGGGAGGGTGGCACTGGGGCCACCCCCCCCAGGGTCCCAACCCCCCCCACTCACCTCTCAGGGAGCGTCCGGTGGGAGCTGGGCCTGTGGGAGGGGGAAGGGAGGGGAGCAGGGGGACACACGCCCCCCCCCTCACGCTATGACGTCATGACAGGGCCCTGGCATCCAGGGCCACCCCTGCACTGTGACGTCATGAGGGAACCCCCCCCCTCGGAGCTGTGATGTCATGAGGCAACCTAGGCACACGGCCCCCCCGCCCCCCCATGCACGCTATGGCGTCACGCGGGGATCCCCCCACACCCAGAACCACCCCTCTCCGCGAGCTATGACGTCAGAGAAGTTCCCAGGGTTAGGCCACGCCCACCCCGCCGTGTGTGTGACATCACGAGGGGACCCAGGCGCCCGGAGCCCCCCTCCACCCGCCCCCCTCTGTGCAATGTGACGTCACGACGACACCCAACCCCCTCCCCCAGGGGCGTTATGACGCCAGGAGGGCGCCCATGTCGCCACCACCCCAACCCCACCCCGCTGCATGTGACCCCGCGAAGGGACCCCGTGACGCCACGGCGCGCGGCCGTGACGTCAGGCCCGTGACGCCGCCGTACCTGTGGCCCGGCTCCTCCCGCTGCGCCTGCGTCTGGATGGTGGGAGCCATGGCGGCGCCGGGCCCCGCGCAGGCAGCGCGGCGGGCAGCTGTTTCCGGAAGGTGACAGGACCCCCCCGCACGGCACGCCGGGCTGACGTCGCTTCCGGGCGGCGAGCGGAAGTGAGGGTAGCGGCGGAAAGATGGCGGCGCCCCCTCAGCCGCCGCCGCCGCCGCCGCCGGCGGGCCCGGGCTCGGGCTCGGGCCCGGGCCCGGGGCCGGGGCCGCCGGCTGCTCCTGCGCCGCCGCCGCCGCCTCTGCCCGCCGCGCCGCCGGGGCCGGGGCAGCCCCCGGGGCCGCCGCTGCCGGCGCAGGTGGCGGCCGCGCAGGCGCAAGACTTCGACCCGGTGCAGCGGTTCCGCCTCCTCATCCCGCAGCTGAAGGAGAGCCTGCAGGTGGGCGGGGCCTGCCGCCAAAAGGGGGCAGAGCTTTGCCAGATCATGATCGTCTTGCATGCTGAGTGGGCGGGGACTGCCGCCGAGGGGGCGTGGCCTGGCAGCGCGGGGGCGTTTTCCCATTCGGAATGGGCGTGGCCTACCGCCGGAACGGGGCGGGGCTTTGTTAAGGTTTTCTACTGGGTGGGCGTGATCTGCCACCGAGAGGGGCGGGGCTTTGTTATCGCAGGGGGGGTAGTCCATGGTGGGCGGTGCCTGCCGCCGAAAGGGGGCGGGGTTTGGTACTCAAGCGGTTTGGCGCCGATATGGGGCGGGGTCTGCCACCTGAATTGGGCGGGGCTTGCCGCCGAAGGGCCGTCGCCCTGAGAAGGTCCCGGGGCTGCACCACGACACACACCGCCCGCCCCCCCCCCCCACCTTCATCCCCCCGAAAATGAGTCCCCACGGCCGGTGACACGCGTGAGGCTGCAGTGGGGGGGCCACCTGTGTCCCTCCTCACCCCCCGTTTCCCCCACCCAGGCCCTGATGAAAGTGGCAGCGCAGAACCTGGTGCAGAACTCCAGCATCGACAACGGGCAGTGAGTGACCGTGACCCCCCTGTCCTGTCCCAGTGCTCCCCAGGCCGCCTCCGCTGCCTCCCATTCCCCCCTGCACCCTCCCAGTCCCTTCCCGGTGTTCCCCATTCCCCTCTGGGGTGGGTGGCAGTGGTGATAACAGTGTCATCCCTCCCCCCAGGAAAAGCGCCGACGGGGCCCTTCAGCGCTTCGACAAGAGCCTGGAGGAGTTCTATGCTCTCTGTGACCAGTTGGAGCTCTGCCTTGTGAGTGAAACCTCCCCCAAAACTGTCCCTGTCCCTCTGGGAACACCCCCAATGCGGTCTCCACATCCCCCCACCCCCCCCAGTGATGCTTGTGCCCCCCTAGTCCCCCCCTCCCCCCATCCTCTCCCTCCATCCCACACCTGTGCCGTGTCACCCCCCGCCCCAGTGACCCCCCGCCCTGTGTGTCCACCCCCAGCGCCTGGCCCACGAGTGCCTCTCGCAGAGCTTCGACAGCGCCAAGCACGCCCCTGCCCTGGTGCCCGCAGCCCCCAAAGGTGAGGGGGGGGCGGGCGAGACCCTCCCCTACACCCAGTACCTGCCCCTCATCAAAGCCCAGATCGCCGGTGCCAAGGACATCCACAACGCCCTGCTGGAGGGGGCCAACAAGATCACCGGCAAGCTGCCCCCCCCGGGCGGGCCCTGAGTGTTTTGGGGTGTCCCTGCGGGGGTCACAGACACTCCCCAAACCTTCTGTGGTGGTCTGAGGGCGGACACGGGGCCGGGGGGTGTTTGGGGAATTCTGGTACCACGTGTCGAGGGGTCAGAGTGCCGGCACACAGTGCAGAGGGGTGCTGACACACCCCCACACACACCCCCGATTTTTGGAGGGGACCCCGCGGGGGTGCTGAGCCCCCCCTCAAATTCTGCCAGGGGTCTGAAAGCAGATCCAAGGGGCTTGGGGGTGGGGGGTCTGAGTGTGGAAATGGGGAGACATAGTGCTGGCTTTTGGGGTGCTGACCTCCGCGGGGGGCCATAATGGGGAAGGGGTGGGGCATGGGGGGTGCTGGCCCCCCCTGGTTTTGGGGGGAAACCAGCTGTTTTTTTGGTAAATAAACTGTTTTTTTGTTGTGATACCGGCTGCTCTGTGTCCGTGGCATGAGCCGGGGGGGGGGGGGGGGGGGGGGGAGGCGGTGGATCCCGCCGCCACCCACGCAGGACCCAGGCGTCCGTGGGTTCGCTTCCCGTGGGGGTCGACGCGGGCTCGAAAGGCACTGGCGCGACGTGACGTCACGGCCCGCCCGCGGGACGTCACTGCGCGGAGCCTCCTCTTGTCCCCGCCGCGCCCGCCGGTCGGGGCACGTGACCGCGGCCGACGCCGACCCGTTCCCCATCACGTGACGCGGGGGAGAGCGGCGCTGTTCTCGCGAGAGGTTGTGGCGGGACCGGGACCGGGACCGGGACCTGGACGGGGAGCGGGGCCGGCACCGGGAACGCACCGGGAGCGGTACTGGAAATAGACCGGCACCGGGAACAGACTGGGAGCGGGAATTGTCCGGGAGCGGGGCCGGGCCGAGGCGGGACCGCAGCTGACAGCGGAGCGGGGCCGGGGCCTCCAGAGCGGCCGCGCCGAGGCCTAGAGCGGAGCGGAGCCGCCGTCCCCCCCGGGGTAAGAGGCGGCGGTGGCGGTGGGGTCCCGCCGGGGGATGGGACCCCCCTCAGCCGGGGCTAGATCTGGGGTTCAGGTGAGGGGTGCTGGTAGGGCCGTTCCGGGGGGGGGGGGGGGGGGGGGGTCGTGCCGCCCTGTACCCCCCATGCACACCGGGACACCCCCGTATCATTCGCCTGGGCCTCCCCTGAACACCCCCAGACCCCCCTGTCTGCCACTCAGGACGCTCTCAGACCCCCTGGGACACCCCCAGACCCCCCTGCCAGACACTCGACACCCCTAGATTCCCCGGGGCACCCCCAGACCCTCTAGGACACCCCTCCATCTCCCCCCCGCCCCCCCCCCCCCCCCCCCCCCCCCCCCAGACCCACCCCCAGCGCCACCATGTCAGACAGCGACGACAGCAACTTCTCAGAGGACGAGAGCGAGCGCAGCAGCGAGGCCGAGGAGGCTGAGGAGAACGAGGTGAGGCTGAAGGCTGCGGGGAGGGGGGTGGTGCGTGCATGTGGCTGCTCTTCCTCACCCCCCTCCAAACTCCCCAGGCCGAGGAGGAGCGCGCCAGCGCTGCTGGCAGCGAGAAGGAGGAGGCCGAGGAGGAGGAGGAGGAAGAGGAGGAGGAGTACGACGAGGAGGAGGAGGAGGAAGACGATGACCGGCCAGCCAAAAAGCCACGCCATGGCGGCTTCATCCTGGACGAGGCCGGTGAGCTGCGGGGGCCACGGGGGTATTGGGGGGAGTCGCTGCTGCCCCCCCAGCCCCACTCACCACCCTGCCCCCCCAGATGTGGATGACGAGTACGAAGACGAAGACCAGTGGGAGGACGGGGCCGAGGACATCCTGGAGAAAGGTGAGGAGCCGCTCTGGGGGGCCCCCTCTGGGTCCCTTCCCCACCCTGGAGGCCCGAGGAAGAGGATGGAAGCTCAGCCCTGCAGCAGGACGGCTCTGTGGGGGCCAGCCCCTGCCCTCCAGCTCTTACCCCCCTCCCAGCCCCTTTCTTCCCCAACCCCCCCAAATTCACCACTTGAGGGGGGGATGGGAGGGATGGTGTGTCTCCCTTGCCTCCCACCGTCTGTCTGTCCCTCCCTCCCTGTGTCCATCTGCTCAACACATCTCATCCGCACTCGCCTGGGGTTTTTATTTTGCTTTTATTTACCCCCTCCACACTTTCCCCTTCCCCCCCCCACCGTGCCGCTGCCTGAATTTTGATTCCTTCCCCTTTGTTCCCCCCTCACCCGTGGGTGGTTTTGCCGCTATTATTTGCTCCATCCTCCACCGCCACTCCTTGTTCCCGAGCAGAAGAGATCGAAGGTAAGCCCAAATCACCCCACCGTCCCCCCCCATTTCCCCTCGGGGTCCATCTGTCCCCCAACTCAGGGGCCAAGCAAGCCCAGCCCTCCCCCCCCGTGGCAGCCCCCGGGAGCAAGATCCCAACCTTCCTCTTCCTTGCAGCTTCCAACATCGATAACGTGGTGCTGGACGAGGATCGCTCCGGCGCTCGGCGGCTGCAGAACCTCTGGAGGTGACGGTGGCTCCGTCCGGGTGTCCATCTGTCTGGTGAGGCAGCGGGGGTTGCACTGATGCCTCCCCCTCTCCTTCTCTCTCCCCAGGGACCAGCGTGAAGAGGAGCTGGGCGAGTATTACATGAAAAAATACGCCAAGTCCTCAGTGGGAGAGACGTAAGTCCCCGTCCCTGTCCCCATCCTCATCCCCAGCGCGATGAGGAGCAGCCCCCCTCTCTCCCCACCACTTCTCCTTTCACCATTTCCTTATCATTTTCCCTTTTTTCAGTGTTTACGGTGGCTCTGACGAGCTCTCGGATGACATCACGCAGCAGCAGCTGCTGCCTGGAGTCAAGTGAGTCTCACGGAGGTGGGGAGGAAAAACACCCGTGTGGTTTTAAGGGGAAAAAGGAGCAAATTGGGATGAGCCGCACTGTAACGGTGTTTCCTTCTCCACCCCCCATACAGGGACCCCAATCTCTGGACTGTGAAGTGCAAGGTGGGTTCTGGGGGGGGGTTGGGGGGCCACGCAGGGCGGAGCTCAGCACGGTGAAGGAGCGAGGGGGCTGCATCCCCACTCCTAAAATGTCCTTTTTGTCCCCAGATCGGCGAGGAGCGCGCCACGGCCATCGCCCTCATGCGGAAATTCATCGCGTACCAGTTCACTGACACAGTGAGGCCGTGGCCAGAGCGGGGCCGGGGGGGATGTGACAGGACCGCTGTGTCCCAGACGTGTCCCCAACGCATCCCCTCGTCCTCCAGCCCCTGCAGATCAAGTCGGTGGTGGCCCCCGAGCACGTCAAAGGTTACATCTACGTGGAGGCCTACAAGCAGACGCACGTCAAGCAGGCGATCGAGGGGGTGGGCAACCTGCGGATGGGCTACTGGAACCAGCAGATGGTCCCCATCAAAGAGATGACCGACGTCCTCAAGGTGGTGAAGGAGGTCACCAACCTCAAGCCCAAATCTTGGGTGCGCCTCAAGAGGGGGATCTACAAGGACGACATTGCCCAGGTGAGGAGGGGAAGGAGGCTGGGACGCCGTGGGGACACACACGCACACACACCCCCCCCGGCTCACCCCGCCTTTGCACCCCGCAGGTGGATTACGTGGAGCCCAGCCAGAACCAGATTTCCCTCAAGATGATCCCCCGCATCGACTTCGACCGGATCAAAGCCCGCATGAGCCTGGTAAGCGGATCCATGCCGTGCCGGCACTGGTGGCCCCCCTGCCACCCTGCCCGCCACCCTTTGCTCACCCTCCCGCTGCCCCCCACCCCGCAGAAAGACTGGTTTGCCAAGAGGAAGAAGTTCAAGCGACCCCCACAGCGGCTTTTTGATGCTGAGAAGATCCGGTAAGCGACTGTCACTGTGACGGGGGACATCAGTCATAACCCAAAAAGGGCCCCTCTGGCTCCCTGGGTTGTGGGGGGGTTCCTGCCCACCAAGGGGGTGATTTGGGTTCTGTCCCAGGTCCCTGGGAGGTGACGTGGCATCCGACGGCGACTTTCTCATCTTCGAAGGCAACCGCTACAGCCGCAAGGGATTCCTCTTCAAGAGCTTCGCCATGTCAGCTGTGGTGAGCACCGCTGCCCCGCCGTGCCGGGGTTTGAACCCGAAAGCCACCACTTTTCCCCCCCAAAACTGCCTCCGTTCTAACGCCAAGGGGCGTTGGGAGGCTGGTGGCTCCTCGGCGGGGGATGGTTTTGGCCACCGGCTTCGCTCTTGGCAGATAACAGAGGGGGTGAAGCCCACCCTGTCCGAGCTGGAGAAGTTTGAGGACCAGCCCGAAGGCATCGACCTGGAGGTGGTGACGGAGAGCACGGGTACGTGGGTGCCCCCGCCGCCCACCCCCCGCTGCACCACCGCCCCCCCCCCCCCTCACCATCCCCACTTGTCGCCCCAGGGAAGGAACGAGAGCACAACTTCCAGCCCGGCGACAACGTGGAGGTGTGCGAGGGCGAGCTGATCAACCTGCAAGGCAAAATCCTCAGCGTCGACGGCAACAAGATCACCATCATGCCCAAACACGAGGACTTGAAGGTCAAGGGGTCCCCGGGGAGCGATGACGGGTGCCTCCCGGGGCCGCTGCGGCCACCCTGGGACCCCCCCCAGCCCCCTCTCCCCCTCCCCACAGCGTTTTTCTTCCCCCTTGCAGGACATGCTGGAGTTCCCGGCTCAGGAGCTGCGGAAATATTTCAAGATGGGCGACCACGTCAAAGTGATCGCGGGGCGTTTTGAGGGCGACACGGGGCTGATCGTGAGGGTGGAGGAAAATTTCGTCATCCTCTTCTCCGACCTCACCATGCACGAGGTATTTGGGAGGGGGGAAGGAATTCAGCTCAGCGCCACGTCCCACCCCAAAGCGGATTGGTTTTTTTTTGGGAAGGGGGGAAAGGAGGGGAAACGGTTACATCTTACGCTTCTCGCCGCCAGCTCAAGGTTCTGCCACGGGACCTGCAGCTCTGCTCGGAGACGGCATCTGGCGTGGATGTGGGGGGGCAGCACGAGTGGGGTGAGCTGGTGCAGCTGGACCCCCAAACCGTGGGCGTCATCGTCCGCCTGGAGCGAGAGACCTTCCAGGTGGGTCCCAGCTCCCCAGGGAAGTCTGGAGGAGCCGCATCTGTGTCCCAGTCGGGGTTTCCACACTCATCCCCATGCTGGAGCTGTGTTCCCTGCCCTAGGGGGGGCAGGGGGTCCCCGTTTTTGGCTGCCCCCCCCCCCTCTCCTAGTCTCTTGCTGTCCCTGCAGGTGCTGAACATGTACGGGAAGGTGGTGACGGTGCGGCACCAGGCTGTCACCAGGAAGAAGGACAACCGCTTCGCTGTCGCCCTCGACTCGGAGCAGAACAACATCCACGTCAAGGACATCGTCAAAGTCATAGACGGGCCTCACTCGGTAGGGGCTTCCAGGCTCTGAGGGGGGGTCCAGGGGGGTTGCAGTCCCTTCCTAGTGTTTTGGGGGGGC